GGTGTGTTTTTGGCGAGTGGCGGGGGGCGGGGGGGGGGGGGGGGCGGGGGGTGGGGGCCGAGCCGGCCGGGGCTCAGTAGTCCGCCGTGTACTCGGTGCCGTGCAGCCCCCGGCACAGCAGCGTGAACTCCTTCACCATCTCCTTCACCCGCCGCTTGTTCACACGCTCTCTGTGGACAGAGACACAGGGGCAGGCCTGAGCAGGCAGGAGGGGCACCATGGCCACCTCCCCCCGGCCACTGCATTACTAGCAGGGCCCTGTGGGGGTTACAGCACACCCAGCCTCTGCTCCAAGCAGGATCAGCCCAGCCCAGCCCCCCCCAGCACAGCTTTGTCTGACCTGCAGCCACAGCACAACGATAAGGCCCCGTGCCCATGGCCCCCAGCCCCGCCCCAGGGGAAGCATTAGTGGCCCCAGTGCACCCAAGAGATCCCAGGCTGAGGCTGTGTCCCTGCTGGAGAGGAAGGCAAAGCCCCCCGGTCTGCACCAGTCTGAGTAGGGGGGAAATCCCTTCTCGCCCCAGTGCAGCATCGGGCTGAGCCTGAGCACAGGGGCAAGACCAGCCAGCAGGAGCATCAGCACAGCCCCATCTCCAGCCTGGCACAGCGAGGGACTGGCCCCAGCAGCTGCCCTGCCCTTCTGGTGGCAGCAGTGTGGGCCACGAGCTCCCCGGGCCGTGCCGGATCAGCAGGGGGGCACGCACCTGAGGATCTGCTGGCTGAAGGTGTCCTTCTGCTCGGGGCTGACGCGGGCAGAGGGGAAGCCGTCGGGCTGCAGGGCCTCCTTGATCCAGAGGCTCAGGTGGCTGAAGCAGTGCTTGTTCAGGGCAAAGAGGATCTCGGCGAAGTGGTCCATGAGGCTGCGCGAGGCTTGGCCGCCGATGCCCTGCGGCACATGGGACAGGCCCGCTCAGCGCCGGCCCTGGCCCAGGAGCAGCCCACGGGACAACTGCCCCACCGACGCTGCGGCCCCCCCCGCTCACCTCCAACACGGCCTGAAGCAGCACCTTGCCCTCGTCGTGCACCACCTGCCCCACGGGGGGGATCTCGCCGCAGCGCGGCAGCAGCTCCGTCTGCAAGAGGAGCGCAAGCTGGGGGGCGCCCGCAGCGAGCCTGCCTGGACCCCGACCCTCCCACCATGGGCACAGAGCAGTGCCAGGGAGATGCTGGGGGCTCAGCCCGTGCCCGTGCCCGTGCCCCTCCTACAGTCCCGGGGCCTAGCTGGTCACCACCCTGCAGCCCACAGGCACGGTCTCCGTGCTCCTCCTGGCAGCGTGCCAGCACAGCACTGACCTGCCCGGTCCTGCTGAGCACCCCAGGGGTCAGCGGGGACCTGAGGTGGGTGGGCGAATGACCCGGGGTGGGAAGAGGGGGGCTGATACTCACAAAAAACCCGCAGGAGGCTCTGACCGTTGGGGCCTCGGGGAACTTGAGCGAGAGGACGCCTGCGGGGCAGAAACCGCCAGCTCAGCCGTGGCCACCTTGCCCAGGCCCGGCCTCCCTCCCTCCTACAGCCAAACCCACGGCCTCTGCCCCCCGCAGGGCTGGAGCCTGTGTCCCCCCAGCCCCCGGGGCTACTCACCGCACTGGAACACAGCCTTGACGTCCAGGTTGCTACACAGGAAGAGGTCGGGCTTCCGCTTGAGCGCCTGCAGGGCACACACACGCACCCAATAAAGACGGCCCCATGGGGCAGCCAGCACAGCCTCCTGGGCGCCGCGTGGCCCCCGGGCACGCACTTACCTGAGCGCCTCCATCCTGCCCTGCCCAGTGCAGGCTGGGCCTGGCACTGGGGGAGCCACCGCAGCCCCCAAACATTAGGCCAGGATTAGCCGGGGGGGGCCCCTCAGCCCCCAGGACGATGCCGCAGCAGCCTGCAGGCAAAGCTTCGGACGCAGCAACAGCGAGTGGAGGCCTCTGCTCCCTGGCACTTGGGGGCAGCTCTCCCAGGGCGAGACAGGCTGGGCCAGGCCAGGGGTCAGGCACCGGGATGGGCTGGGACCAGCGGCAAGGCCGGGGCAGAGGTCAGTGGGGGGGGTGGAGGGGCTTGCTCATCATCACCACGGACAGCAGCAGCTCTGGGCACAGCGGCGCCAGGCTGGGGTCTGGCCAGACCCGCAGCCGGCCCACGGGCACTAGGGACACGCACCGCCGGTCTCAGCTGCCCCGCCAGGCCACACAGGGGGCCGGGAAACTGTGCCCTGTTCAGAGCGGCCCTGGCTCCTCTTTTGCCGCAGGCCTGGCCCACGGCACAGGACGCAGCCCACACCTGCCACGCTGCAGGGCCCCCTGCAAGGCTGGGCTCGGCCGCGGGCTGCGCGCTTGTGCAGGTGTGTGTGTACAGACGTCATGTGGCAGCCGCGCACATGCTCACGGTGGGCAGACGCCTGGGCGGGCACCGCGGTGGCCATGCTCTCGCCATGCCAGGGAGGCTTCGGCTGAGCCCTACTGAAATGCCTATAGGAAGCTGCCACTTGAGAGAGACCCAGGCGGCAAGCAGCAGGCGCAGCGAGCCCTGCCTCCTCCACCTCGCAGCTGTGGACCGAGCCACACCAATGGCAGCGACTGCCAGGGAAGCACCGCGTGGCGTTGGCGTGACCCTTGCGTGCAGGGCCCCTCTGCCCAGGCCCGGCACACGGCAGTGGTCTCGTGGTACACACATGTACAGTGCTCCTACCGCAGGCTGTGGCTCGCATGCGGCAAAGCCAAGCCGCTGGGACTAGGGTTGTCTCTGGTTACCTGAGGTGGGGCCACGCTGGGGCCCCCCTGCACCGACCCCAGGCCTCAACTCCCAGAGAAGCTGAGGCAAGCCCAGCCTACAGGGCCAGGAAGGCTAGTGGCTCCAGGCCGGAGCAGCACGCTCTGCGATGGGATGGACGGTGGAGCCGCGATGGAGCGAGCCGGGGGCTCTGCCCAGATGCAGGCCAGGGAAGGAGGTGGGCAGCTCCAGGGGAGCAAGTCTTGATTCCCAAAGGCCCCTGAAAGGCACTGGACTCGCAGAAGCGCAGCCCCGCTGCACAGGATGAGCTGTGGGGGGACTTCCAGCAAGGGCAGGATGACAGAGGAGGGGGGTCTGGAGCAGGGAGGCCCAAGAAAGGAGGGGGTGGTCTCCATAGCCAGGGCAAGAAGGCTCCTAGCGGGACCACGGGAGTGCAGAGCAGGGCGGCTGTAGGACGGGCTCCCGGGACAGCCCCGGCTGCTCAGCGGGGATCCTGCGCCCTGGTCAGCAGGGCGTGCATACCATGGAGACAGGAGGGAGCTGAGGTTTCCTTGTCCAAAGCTGTTGCTCTCCAGGGGAGCAGCAGAAGCGGGGAGTCCCCAGGATGGTCCGTCCCACAGCTCCAGTGCTGTCCTGTCACTGACTCCAGAGCCAGGCCCAGTGAAGAGTTGCTGCCAACCGGCTCCAGGGTGAGGGAGCAGCATCCCAGGCTCCATCGGCAGCTGCTGGAGGCAAGTGGGCAGCAGTGCAGGGGCTGCAGCGTCCTTCCCCGGTGCACGGCCGTTCCAGTCTCACCCGCTTCCTCGGCGGCTCTCGAGGGCCGTGTGCCATTGCAGCAGCTGCCATCAGGCTGTTCAATTTGGAGCGAGGGAAGCCAGGAGCAGGGGATGTGCTGGGGGCTGGGCCTGCACCACCAGGCTGTGGCCAGTGTTCTTGCCCCAGCGGGGCCCTGCCTGTGCAGACAGGCAGCCTCTGAGATCTAGGAGACCAGAGGTCCAGGTCCTTCTGCTGGAGCTGATGCCCTGGATCATGACGACTTGGGTCATGCAACATGCTGCAGCTGCAAGAAAGGGGAAAGCTGTTCAAGGCTGCAGCAGCAGGAGCATCAGCTGCAAGACCCGAGAGGCAGGAGTGCCATGGTGCTGGGTAGGCCTCACCCAGGGCATCGCGCCTGCAGGCCTCACCAGGAGCGTCCCATGCCATTCTGGGCTCCACATTTTAAAGACAACGTGGAGACATTAGAGAAGTTTGAGGCAGGCAACATGCACGATCCAGTTTGGAAAGAGGCTGCACAAGGAGAGGCCAAGAGAAGCAGGTGTGTTCAGCTTGCGGAAGAGGAGACAGGTGGCGGGGTGGGGGGTGACAGCAATATCCAAGTACTGGGCAGGCGCCGTAAAGAAGAGGGAAAGCGCTTTTTCTCCCTTGCTGCAGAGAGCACGATGTGGACCAACAGCTTGGTGGAGCAATGCAGGTGTAGGTGGGATCTCAGAAGGATCTTCCTTGCTGTCAGGGCCGCGAGGCAGGGACACAGGCTGCCCAAGGCAGGGGGGACTCTGTCACTGGAGGTTTCCAAAGGAGGCTGGATCAGCATGAGATGGTGGAAGGACAGAAGGACAGCAGGCAGGCAGGCGAGAACTGTCTGTGGTTGGCTCTAGAGCACTCCAGTGAACCACGGGTGGGAGAACAGATGACTCAACTAAGGTGAGCAGAGCAAGAGAAGCGAGGTGGCCTCGGCGGGGAGACTGTCCCACCCCAGCAAGGACACCCCACTGCACCCCCAGCATGGAAGGGGAGACCTGAAGAGCTCGGGTGCGAGTGCCCAGCATGGCTGTGCTGGGCATGGCAGTGGGAGAGCGTTCGGATGGAGTAAAGGGCAGCAGGGCTTTGTGGACAGGTCACGGCATCCCCTGGCACAGAGGCCACGGTGCTCCTGGACCCATCCAGCAAGTCACCCAGAGGTGAGAGGATGCCAGCCCCAGACAGCAATGGTCTGTGAGGCTGGACTCAGGCAGGGAAGGAGGGAGGATGCCCAGGATAGGTAGCCCGCGGGTTTTGTGCCTCGTGTCGGAGACGGCCCTGTCTGTACATGCAGTGCGAGGCTGCTCTGTACCGTGGCGCCACGTGGGCAGGGGCCTGGCTTGCCATGGCCAGAGCCCTCATAGCACACAGCCTCACTCTGCAGCCGGGACACAAGCAGGCATGTCCTGGCTGTGGACAGACTGGCAAACCAGTGAGTGGCATGGATGAGGTAGCTCAGACAGCAGGGCCCAGTCACACCAGCATGCGCACAAGGCACGTGCCCAGGATGTGCCCACTGCACAGGGTCCCTAAACAGGTCTGAAGGGTCACGGTGGGCAGATGCTCCAAGAAGGGCCGGCATGGGGGCAGGAGGTGAGATGGGAGTCCGCTCCCCTCCTGGGGCACTGGGGGCAGCAAGGCTGCACTGACACTGGAGGCAGAAGAACAGGATGAAGGGCTGGAGGAAGTGCCCACAGGCGTGCTCAGTGCAGCTGGCCAGAGACAGCTTGAAAGCAAAGTCCATGTCTCCCCTGGGAACAAAGGCTGGACGTGAGCACGTGGACAGCAGCCAGAGTCACGTCCAAATGGGAAGCAAGGGGCAAACCGTGGGCAGTGAGGGTCACTCCAAAGTGCTGTCCTTTCCATCTGCAGGCCGCTGTAGCCGAGTGCCCGTCTGGGGCTCGGAGCAGGGCTCCCTGGACGGGATCCTCTGCTGGCACCGGGCAGCGTCAGAGCGGGGGCTGACAGTCTTGCTGATCTCGTCTTGCTCCGGAGCGAGTGCCCTTTCCTGGATGGCACAGGCCAGCGCGGCCAGGGTCGTGCTCCGTCCCACTGCCACGTACCCGCATCTCATTGGGACATCCCTGGGCAGCGACGTCCAGGCCTCAGGATGAGATTCCAGCCTCCTCCGTGCAGAGCAGCTCCTTCAGCTCCAGGTTGCGCTGTGGGAGGACTGGCCTTGGCCTTCTGTCTGGAGGAAGAGCACGATGGTGGGGGAGGAAGAGCTACAATGGATGCATGGGGACCAGCAGCAGAGCCCGCGCACATTTGCTGTGGGTGCAGGCAGTGCCTGGCCACGGGCAGTGCTGACCAGGAAAGCAACATCCCTGTTCCTGGCACGAGCGGCAGAGGGGCACTGGCCGGGAGGGAGCGGGCGATGCCCGTGAGAGGCACGTGGCACCTGGAGCGCTGCTGTCAGCCCCCGCCGCACACGCCCGAGGGACGCCCAGAGGAAAGGGCAGCGACTTCTAGAGGCTGCCAACCATTGTCCAGACAGTTCACAGACTCCAGTGGGGGTCAGCCCCTGGGCAACAACAGCTGGCTCTGCCAGCAGGCGGGCACGGGGAGCCCATGGAGTGGCTCAGGTCTGAACACTCGGGCTATACCAGGTAGCGATTGGTGCCGACTCCTGCCCGGTCGAGGCAGCTCCGGGCTGCAGGGGCCGGGTGCCACTAGAGGGGGATAGCGACTCGCAGAAGGGAACAGGCCTGAAGCCCACAAAGACCTGCCTTGGTCCTGACAGCCTCCGCCACCACGGGACAGCTCAGCGCTCCTCCAAGAGATGCCACCAGACACTGCACCCCCTGCCCTCACCTCCCCACGCCTCTCACCAACCAAGACCAGAGACCACGCAGGGCATAGGAGCTTCTGCCTATGAACCAGCCCAAGCCCAGAGATGCTGGCTGCTCCCAGGGCTCCAGCCTGCACTGTCGCCTGGAGCTGCAAGGCTCCCATGGGCGGCTTAGCAATGCTGGACCCCAGAAGGGGGCAGGGACTGGGGCAGCTGCAGCCGGGAGCGGACACGGCTGCACGGGGGTCTCCTGGGAGAGGAGCAGAGCTGCATCCAGCTGGGAGCAGTGCAGGACAGGCTGGCCTGCCTCGTGCCCCCGGCAGTGCAGACGAGCCCCTCAGCCACACACAGGCTGGGGTTCGGCACCAGCACAGCACAGCAAGCATGCGGACAGACGGGCATCGGGCACCCCAGCGCTCCCCAGACAGGGTAGACCTCAGCACGCCCTGCACCAGAGGCGACAAGCAACAAGCCAGCAGGTGCAGCCCCACCTGGCCCCAGCACCGGACAGCGGTGGGTGGCCGGTGGCCCCGAGGCAGCCAGGCTGCACTGCCACAACCCCAAGCACCGCTGCATGCCCTCTGCTTATCACTGCCACGTCCCGCCCAGCCCCGCAGCCACGACACCCAGGCCAGAGCCCTGGGATGCAGCGCAGCCCCTTGCTGGCGGCTCTGGAAGCATCGTGCTGTTGTGCCAGGCTGGGGCAGGAGTCAGACACCCGGATGCTTGGATATATCAGCCAGTACCCTGACAGGCTCCCCGAGCCAGCACACGCGTAAGCCGACTCCTGTGCTACAGCTACAGCACCCTGGGAAGGCGCCGCAAGCAGCCCGTCCTGCCAGAGCCTCCCTGGCAATGCCACACCAGGTCAGCGGCCAAGAGGCAAATCCTGCACCCATCCCCAGACGTCTGTACACACACCGCATAACCAGCCCCCACCTGCTCCCAGCTGCAGAAACCTCACCCCGCACTCCGGCCTTGACCGTGTGGTCTGGCAGCGAGGCGGCCAGCACGTGCCCGAGCCACAGAGGCCATCTCTGCCCTCCTGGTGAGGAAACCAAGCCTGCGGGAGCAGAGGAGCCAGGCAGCTCCTCCAGACACAGCCTCTGCACAGCCCTGCTTTGGACAGTGCCTGGCCCGCCTGTCATGTCAGCATTCAGGCGGCAGTGCCGCAGGATCGCTTGGGACCTTGGAGCTGGCCCGTGGGGCGACAGGCATCTGCTCGGAGCAGACCGGCTGCTGGGTGTGGGACTGTACAGCTCTTGGAGGGACCCCGATGTGTGGGCCAGCCTCACGCATCCAGGGCCTGGCGAGGAACATGAGGAACCCCAGACGTCCCGCTCCCAGCGCCCGGTGGCTCCGACCTAACCCCAGTGGCTGCTGCCTGTGGGCACGGAGAGGGGCTGCCTTGCTGGCCACACAGCTTGGGACCGGCCTCTTGGCCAAAAGCCGCCCAAAGCAGTGCCTGGGAGTGCCAGCTGCCAGCGAAGCCAGCTTTGTCCTGCCGCACAGGCCAGCAGGCACAGCAGGTGCCCCAGCCCCGCGGACCATTGCAGAGCTGAGGCTGGAGGAGTAGAGAGAGCCCATTTGGTGTCCCGGCCTTCTGCAGGCCAAGTGCGGAGGTGGGAGCAGCAGCCCAGGGGCGACCCCCCACAAGGCCAATGAGGGGGGCCGGCAGGGCCAGGGCTGCCTCGGGGCTGGCGTGACCCCAGGACTAAAAGGAGAAGGTTTTGCTTTCAACTTCCACGGAAACAGATGGAGAAACTCGATATTCAACTAAAAGGAAAAAAACGTTGTCAACGGAAAGCTAAAAATAGGTTTAAATTGAATTAAAAAGAGAAAGAGAGAGAACGGAAAGTGAATGAATAAGAAACTAAAACACACCTGTGCCAGGAGTTGCATAAATGAATCAACAATATCAGGATGATCCCTGGGCCCTAAAATATAATAAAGATGTAACTTAAGAGAAAATCATACAAACAGCAACTCAACATCATATAGTTATGTGGTACAGAAAGAATCTACAAGTGAAAACAGGAGTGGGGGAGGGCAGGGGTGGCGGACGGGGAGGGGATATGAGCAGCTTGAAGCAAGTTAAAGAAACAAAACGTACAAAAATCATGAAACTTGAAGAACCCAAGAACAGAAAGAAACGGCAAAGGAAAGGGTCTGAGGCCCCCGGGGTCTGTGCCAAGCGCCCGGGGGCTGCGGAGCCAGGGAGGTAGAGATCGCTGTGTCCGTGGAGGGGGGGCGCGGGGGGGCTAGCTGGGCACCATCTTGGCAAGGAGGAAGAGGAGGAGGAGGAGGAGGAGGAGGAGGATTCGGGCTGTGGCACTGAGCCACGCGGTCCTGGAAAGGCTGTGAAGACCTGGTGAGACCTCCACGGGCGTTCAGCAGTACGGGCGGCCCGGGCTCGCACCTGCTGCCGGGGCCCGTGGCTGGCCCCAGTCCCGGGCCCTGAGGCTGCGCTGTTTTTGCCGTCCACTCTTAGTCCGGGGCCCTGAGCCGTCTCCCGGGCAGCTGGAGACCTCTGCGGCCCAGCCGCCACCAGCCTACCTTGGCGCCCAGCTCTGCGCCAGCCCGGCTGCGAGCTCGCAGGGCTTGGCCTTCCGTCCCGTCTCGTGTGCGTGCATGTCCCCGGCACGTGCGCACGCTCAGGACAGCGGCCCAGGCAGCTTTCTGCAGCTGGCTCCCAACCCAACACGAGCAAGAAGCAGAGAGGGGCCGGCACTACCCTGAGCCATGTCTGTGCCCATCCGGGCTGAGAGGAGTCTCTTGCCTCCGACACCCGCTCCCGCGACACCTGTGCATCAGCCCGGGCCCGGCCTGCCTGCCCACGACCCAGTGTTACACCAGACTAAACTGTCTGGGGAAGCGCCAGCCCCTCGCCCACACAGGCCTTTGCAGGGGACAGCCGTCGCTTTGCCCTGATGTGGGGCCATGACCGTGAAAGGGAGCACGCCTTCAGGGACTGGGCAGAGTGTGGCCAGAGAGCCGGGACAGCCCCAGCCACCAGGCTGGCAGGAGCGGGCAGGCCTGGCTCCAGCAGGGAAGCAGAAGGCCCGAGCGTGCCGGGCAGGATGGGGACAGGGAGGTGGAAAGGAGAAGCAGGGCTGGGGCTGGGGACCCCTTCGGGGGTCTGGGCTGTTCTGCGCAGGGGAGGAGGAGACAGGCACTGTCCCCTTGCCCCTGGAGGTGGGGCTGGGCCAAGCCGGGCTCTGGAGAGATGGTTCCCTCGAGCTCAGAGTCCCTCTGCTCGGGCCCAGGCTCAGTTCTGGGCCAACTCCAGGCCCTGCCAGGCAATGAGGCAGGAACACCGACACCTGCACTGCGGTAACCCTTCGTGGCCACCCCCCTCCAAGGCTGCATGGGGACAACTGGAGCACTCCACCACCTGGCAGCAGAGCTGCTCGGGACTGCAGGGCCTTGCCAGGGCCGAACCAGGGTCCCCATCCCCACGGTGGCCCAGAGCCAGGGGACACTCGCTCAGTGGCACAGGACAGGCTGGCTGGTGCCCTGAGCCCGCGGGGCTGCATGGTAGGGCAGGGGACACCTCTCTTCCTGCATCCTCCCCCCACCTTCTCTCAGGTGAACCAGAGCAGACCAGCCCCGCTAGCCGGCCTCTCCCGGATCCCCGCGCCCCAGCTCGCCCTTGCCCGGCCCGCAGGAGTGCTGCGCACGTACCTTGCTGGAAGAGGGTGAGTGTGACCGAGGTGACCAGCAGGAAGACAGCCTTGATGGGGGGGAAGTGGGCGGGCTCGTTGGCAAAGATGTGAACCAGCTTGGGGAGAGACAGAGACAGAGAGGGGCTGAAGCTCTGACCAGCCGGCAACTCCAGCCAGGCCACCTCCCCGCTCAGAATTGCCACGAGGCCAGCGACCACGGTGCTGGCCCGTCCGGCCATGCCCTGCCCTGCCCGCAGGGGCCAGGGGTGCTGGGCTCGGCTTTCCGATGCTGGTAACTGCCCGAGCCCTGATCCCACATGCTTGCTGGTGCCATCCCACCACCCGCCCCACATCCCTCTCCTGCATACCTGCCGTGTGAGGTCGATGGCAGAGGCCTGGGGGATGGTGCCGTACATCTGGCCCAGCATCTCGCACAGCTGCGGGACCATGGGGGCGAAGTCGTCGAGCAAGGTCTTCACGGACTTCTCGAAGATGGCGCAGACAGACTGCAGGGACAGGAGGGGTAGTGTGGGCACGGGGTGGCGGTGGAGTCACCTGTGGCAGGGCAGGGGCTGACCCGGGCACTCAGAGCCACACCTGATGCCGCTTCAGTGGCAACGCCCCTGGGAGCAGTGGGCGCCCCCCGGCCAGCAAACCCAGGCAATGCCAGTCCTGCGTGAGGTCAGTCCCAGAAGGGACACAGGTGAGCAGGGCCAGGTCAGAAGTGCAGGCAGAGCGTGGAGGAGGGCGAGAGCCTGGCCTGAGCCCAGCCCAGCAGCCCCCGCCAGGTCAGGGCTCCTCAAACCACTTTCCTTGAGGCTGCCCCATTTGGGGCCGTGGCCCAGCCCCGGCCCCCACACAATGCTGCTGCATGCTGGGCTCTGCCTGCAATGGCGCCAGTGCCTCCCACCCAGAGCCATTACCTCCACCACCTGGGCATCGTTCAGCCACTTGCTAAGCACCTTCTGGATGAGCTGGAAGACTTGCTGCAGGACCACCACCACCTGCTGGAGCGAGAGGGGGCTCAGGGCCAGGCCGCAGCACAGCTGCCCGGGGGGGCCTGCCCCAGGGGTGCCCAGTGGGAGGGAGGGGGTAGCTTGGAGGGTTTCCCAACATGGGTGCATGGGGGTAGGGATGGGGTTCAAAGCCTGTGGGCACACAGATTTCCCTGGGCACCTCCTCCTCCTCAGTTGACCCAGCCCCTCCTGGCCACATCCTGACTCTCTGCCAGCCCTGGGCCCTGATCCACGAAGAAACTACCTTAGATCCCTGTGCCCAGCCCTGGGTGGGGCAGACACCACCAGATCGTGCCAGCGCCTCTGCCCCAGGCTGCAGTGTGGGTCACGCCACCCGCCTATGTGCCCTCCCTGTGGTAGCTGGCTTGGGCTGGGCCAGAGCCTCACAGGCAGTCAGTCTCTCTGGCAAAGGGGGCAGGCTCAGCTCCTAGGAGACGTGGCCAGGCAAGACCCCACTAAAACAGTGAGATTCCCTCCTGCAGTCTAAGGCAGCCAGGAGAGTGGCATGACCGCAACACGCACCGGGTTGGGCCCCTGCTGCAGGGGCAGCTTCTTGACCTCGGCAGTCTCGTGGTCGTCATCATGGTGGCTGATATCCAGGGTAGTGAAGAGGCTGGACAGCAGGCCCAGGATGTGGATGATAGCCAACTTGTTGGAGGGGTTGGGCTGCCAGGGGAAAGCGAGCAGTGAGTTCACAGCTGCAGGAGGTGTCGGGGCCCACTAGGATGGGGGCAGCTCCTTGTATTGCCCCAGCTTCAGCAGTCTCTGGGCCACCCATGGGGCCCCTGCCCCAGCTGGCACTGAGCCTCCACCAGGAGACCTGAGAGCACCATGTCTCCCTGCTGGGAGGGCTCCAGGAGGGCTGGGAGCCAGGTGCCAGCATGCACCGTGCAGCAGACCTCAGCCCGCGGGCTGCCCAGGGAGCCCGCCTCACACGCGACAGTGACAGCACGAGTTCCCCACGAGCCAGGGTGAGAGCAAGGCCTGCGGGGGAGGCCCAGGACTTGTCTGGGCTGGTTGGGGGCCACACTCCACACTGCGCCCAACTCACAGTCTCGTCGGCCAGCTTCTCCAGCTGCTGGATGTAGGGGCTGATCAGGGAGTGCAGGTTCTTGAGGATCTCCTCCACCTGCAGCGCTGAGAGCAGGAAGCCGAGCGCCTGCATCAGCCACATGCACTGGCTCGTCTGGAGGGCAGAGGGGGGAGGTCACAGCAAGGTCTGGCACCAGCCTCTGAACCCCGCTGGGGAGCACGCACAGGGAGAGAGGTGGCCACTCAGGCCAGGGGATAGGGTGCACAACCAAGCATCAAGCAGGTTTCTGTGGTGCCTGTCCCAGAGCTGGACAGCCCGAGCGCTCAGAGCTGGTGTGGCAGGCTGGGCTCTGGGGGAGGTGCCTGCTCCTTGGCAGTCTGCTTCCTAGCACCCACCCCAAAGAGGGGTGGCTGCTCTGCAGCCCTTCAGAGCTTCTCTCTGCAGCGCAAGACACCAGCCCTGGGCCCTGACTGCCATGCTCAGGCCGCACGTGGGGCAGCTGGGCCCAGAAAGGGGCGCACTCACATCTCTATGCAGGGAGCAGCTTGCCCGGGTCACAGCCAGGGGCACAGGCCCATGAGGCTGTAGGCAGGCCCACCCCTCCACCCCCCATGTCCACAGACTGGGGGGAGTGAGACTCACCTTGTGGATCTGCTTCATTAACACCTCCTGGGGGGGGGAGAGAGAGCAGCGGGTCACTGTCACGGGGCACTGGGCAGGGGTGAGGCACAGCAGCCAGCAGACCCCATGGACGGGCACCAGCCACGGGCAGCCTCCATGGGAGCCACAAGTACCACCCCGAACGCAGCCCCCCGCATCACTGGGCCCATGGGAGGCAGGAGCAGGGCAGGGGGCCGCAAAGCCGCGTGAGCCGGGTCAACAGCACAACAGAACCAGGGCAGAGCCTGCCCGGCCCAGAGCTGCCGAAGCACAAGCTGGCCCACGGGACATGCCCCAGCCCCAGCCCCAGGTCCCTGCCCCACCCTCGCACCTGGGACACGGCGACGATGTTGGCGGCATAGGGGGGCAGGTCGTACTTGCACTCCCGGCAGATCTTCTTCAGGGTGGAGACGCTGGAGATGGAGAGCTCGGGGTTGCCCAGTGCCTGCAGCACCAGCGGCAGCACATTGTTGATCATGACGGGATGGTCAGCCAGCCACTCGGACAAGGCCCCTGTGGTGCGAGGCGGGTCAGCCACGGGGCGGGGCCACACTCCCCTCCCAGCCCCCACCCCACTGAAGCAGGAGATGGCCTGGCCCTGCAGGGCCCGGGGCACGAAGCCCAGCGGCGTGAGTCCCAGGTAGGGACTAGCCACCGGTGGGGTGGGTGGGGGCAGGGGGCAGCGAGGGGGGGCCCAGGCTCCCCCACGACGCCTCACCGATCGTGAACATGACCGTGTCAGCCAGCTGCACGTTGCTGATGCTGATGCGGGGGATGAGGCCGATGAGCCCGGGCACCACGTCCGAGTAGTTGACGTCGATGGTCTCGGCGATGGACTGGAAGCCGTAGAGCAGGGCTTCCGTGTGC